TAATAGTAATACAGACCCCTCGCATCCTGGACATCAATTGTTTCAACTTCTACCCTCAAAACGATGCTATAGAGCACTGCACACCAGAACAACTAGACACAAGGACAGTTTTTTTTCCCCCAAATGCCATCACTCTGCTTAACAACTAATTCCCACAACATTATCATATAATTTACTAAGGCTGTATTACTATTATTATTCTCTTCCTTCCTAGTATCTATCTCTTCCCACTTATGACTATAACCATGTTGCTTGTATTGTTCAATTTATATTGTTTTATTTGTTTCCTAGTATGATTTGACAGCTTATTAGTAACCTTGACTATCACTAAGTGTTGCATCTTTTTATTCTTGATAAATGTATTTTATTCTCCTTATGTACACTGAAAGCCTATGCACCAAAAACAAATTCCTTGAGTGTCCAATCACACTTGCCCAATAAAGAATTCTATTCTATTCTATTATTTTTTCAGTCTGAAGTTCATAACTTCAAGCAGTCGCTAAAGAAATGATTATAAATCAAGGACATATTATTTCAACTCAGTTAAGATTAGCGGAAAATGCACACAACATACATCCTTTGCAGGAAGTTAATGGCCACCATGTTCATACCGATAAATATCTGCTGGCGTTTTAATATTTGGCAGTTCTGTCGTCCCGTGTCCATTTCCGTTGCTGTTCTTCCGTTTCCGTTTTGCTTCTTCTTTCTTTTCACTGAATTTTAACGTAGTATTTTTCCCCGTGTTTATTCGTACCTGATATCAAAACGTAACAGTAGTTGTGAGCATTCAGGAAGGGAACAGCGCAAAAGTAAAATATTATTCTCCTGCCAGATGGAGGAAATAAATCAAAAGGAACATAATATCAAAAGTTCATACCAGCCAATGTTGGAATAAACGCGATTTATTGAACGCGCAAAGGGTTGTGTTCATGTGACACACTTAAGTCATACCAACCACACCACAATTGTGGCTCTGTGTGATATGTCACTACATCTGTGAAGTTGTACAGTGGGTTTTTTTCTACAATCCTTCCTTTAACAGCTATAAGAAGTTAAGAGAATGTTGCTTTCATTTCTAAGAAGCTATGGTTTGTAATTCTGTGGAAACCTGGAACTGTAGTTGTCTAAAAGAAAGAAGTCAGCATTAGGAGGTGTTCTGACCCCCTCCTCCATCCAGTAACGAATGCCGAGACAAGCTTAACTGGAATGTTCTTTAATAACAAGACACCAAAACCTTGGTGGCTGAAAGCCAAGCACAACAAACAGATAAGGATCTTGGCAGGAGCTTAGACAAACTCAGGCAGCAATAAACACAGATAAGGCTTGGCAGCAATCCAGCCTGCCAAGCTCCCAGTACTGTCCTCCGACAT